TTAATTCTTTTGAAGAACACTTTTGGCCTCTGTAATGGCGCTCTGCCCCCAAGATTTCTTAGGGGTTGCATTTGCTGTGTCAATAATACCTTTAGTGTGTGTTTGAGAAATGTCGAGATGATTTATGATTAGTGGGAATTGAAATTTGTTTGGCCTAGAAATTGGTGCACAAAAGGGTTTTGGAGATGAAAAGAAGCAGCCATGATTCAAACCAGGGAGGTGGAGAAGAAGACCAAAATGGAAGAGAAGAGAAAAATTGAAGTCGGACAAGAATAAAAGTAAAAAGACAAATTTGCCCCTCCAAATCCCACGTGAATGGCACGTGCGTGAGATTCCGGTGACATTTGCCGGAAAATACCACCTTTAGGGTACTGTGCAACAAAAAAACGAGTTTAGGTAATAACGTGCAAAAAAAAATTGTTTGGGGGGCAAAGCGCAAAACGGGTCATAGTTTAGGGGGTAAACTGCTTTTTACTCATATATATATATATATATATATATATATATATATATATATATATATATATATATATATATAATTAGAAATTCGGGATTAAATTATACCGAACGGGATTTGACCCATTCCCGAATCCCGTCCCGTTTTTCACCCGAATCCCGTCCCGTTTTTCACCCGAATCCCGATCCCGAATCCCATAATCCCGAAATCCCAAATTTCTACTCCCAAATAGCCAAATCCCGATCGGTACGGGACGGGATCCCGATCCCGATCCTGATGCCCACCCCTAGTTTTCGCCTGCATTTTTTTTTGTTTCGACTGTAATATACTGTCTCCGACCGTAATATTACTGTCTCAGACAGAAATAATACTGTCTCCGAGCGAAATATTACTGTCAAAAGCAATCATATTACCTTTTGGGACAGTAATATTAGTAATAAGACTGTTCGAAAAAATCATATTCATAATCGTTCTGTCTCAGACAATAATATAATACTATTGTCAGAGACAGTTATTTAGCGGCCCAGACAGTAATATTAATTAAAATATTTTTTTCTAAAAAAAAAAAGATATTTTCAAAAAAAAAAAAAAA